AAAAACTTCAAAAAAGATTTCAGTTCGGAAAACGTGTTGGTTATTTAGTACAATTGGCTAGACCGTTTTTCGTAATTGTTCCAACATGTACAGTAGTAAATATTTTTCTTTCGTATTTAAAAACTAGATAAGCAAGTTACATTGAACTTAATAAATGAATCTAAACTGATATTGTGATATTTTATTTTTAGTAAATGGTTATTTATTCTGATAAATTTTATTGAACTTCTCATTATTACGACTATCTGCTTACACACTCAAATATCTAAAATCTTTATTTTCTTTCCTTTACGCTAACTTTAAAAAAAAAAATCCGTATGCCATTGATGATGCAATATTAATTATTTATTTATTTTTTGTAGGTAACGGCAACCAAAGATGTAGTAACGGTCTTGATAAAATATTTAGCGATTCATCTGTATTTCAAAACATTTGGAATAGATAATAAACTCAATATTGAGTATTTTTCCCATACTTCGGTCATTAGATCTACTAATGATACGATTTCGAAGTTATCACAATATCGAATAATAAATTGAATTCGCGGCCAAATAATGAAATAAAATCTGGTGCGTCAGATGCATTACTTGAAAAGTTTAAAGAATCTAAAGATTTTGTATATCTAAAATGTTCGTTACCAAATGAGTCAAGACATAATAAAATGATGCCAACAATACAAAATACTTCAATATGTTTTCAACATCAAACAAAAATGAAGCAATAAAAAGTATAAATTTTAATGCCTATGAACAATTTGGAAACAATAATGCAACATCTTCTTTCGATGTCACACTAAATTCTTTTAAAAGTAAACCTGCAACCCTTAAAGAAGCATGTGATTTTGATCGAAGAAGTTCAGCTACTAGTCCCATATCTGATATGAAAGGTTCCAAAATGACACCCAGACCATTAAAAAAAGCTTGGTTGTATCGGCATACGGGTGAGGATGAATTAGAAAATGCTAAGTTTGATGACATGGCTCAAAATGGCATTAATAGCTTTGACAAGACTTTGACAAAAAATTGTACGGACTCTAGTTTAACAACTAATTTGAACTCAAATTTCTACTTTACAAATCTAGGAACTGAGAAGCTAAATGGTATTATTAAAAACAATATTCTACAAAAAAATTGTAATACGTTGATGAAAAATAATGATAAAACATATGCACGTAAATTGTTTGAAGACAGAGCTGCCAAACAAGGAATAAAAAGAAATATAGTAACATTAGACGAAGCTTCAACGGATCTTTTAAATAAGGCAAAAAATATTGTTATTAATAATAGCACTATATATGATAATGACTACATCAGTTCAAAGAAAGAGAAAAAGGATGTTTCGTTAGACTATTTTAAAAATGAAGGCAAAAAAGATTTTAAAAAGTCCGAATTTACTTTCTTGCAAGATGGTCCGTGTTTCCAAGTTGCTCCAAAATTGTCAAAATGTCGAGAATGCCGTTGGACACAAAATCAAGATATGGAAAACGTGAACAATATTTTTTGTCGATTTCTTCTTTTTCCGTAAACTGAGGTACACTAAAAACTTGACGTTGGCAACCGCCGGATTTTCTGACCCTTTTGACGATCCCACTAAGGATGATATATCAATATGGACTCCAAAGAAGGAAACGACACTTAATTTAGATATAACGACTTCCCGATTTATCTTATCGCATGTCGGTGATCAATTTTGTGATCTTGTTGAGCAGGAAAAGCAGGCTGCATCATTGAACAAGTCAGATGTTGTAGAAGTAGCATGGAAAAAACTTGTAAAAGGAGTTCGTGAAATGTGTGACGTATGTGAAACAACATTATTTAATTATCACTGGACTTGTGGTAAATGCGGATTTATAGTCTGTTTAGATTGTTATAAGCATAGGATCAATGATACTGGAAGACTTACAGCTGATCCAGAAAGGGATTATGATGAATTCAATTGGTTGCTTTGCACTAATAGAACATCACACGAATTGAGAAAATTAATGCTCACTCAAATAATACCTGCTGATTGTCTAGTTCAATTAGGCCAAAGCATGCATAAAATCCGATCTGATTTAGATATGGAACAATATTGTCCATGTGCTAATGATAGTATTCAAAAGTGTGATGAATCTATAAAAAAAGAAGAAATTGAAGAATCATTAGATTCTGAAAGCACAGTGAAAAGTGAAGATGCCGACCAAATGAATAATTTAGAAGATGATTTTTTTAAATTTGAAAAACCAACACATTCTTTATGGGCATTTCCACAATCAGATGAAAGTGCCTCTTTGAAGTTCAGGCAGATGTTGCTAGGATCGAATACTTTACCTCTTACCGAACCGAAAATTAAAATTTCATCTTCAGAAACTTTTGATCTAGTCACGTCAAGAATACTAGCAGCACAATCAAGCAATTCCGATATAAATGTTGCTTTTAAAATTATTGGTCATGAGGGTAATGGAAAAAAGAATAAAGGATTACCTCCTCGAATTATGACAAAGGCAGTTAGCTCTATTTTATATCCAACCACCCCTCATAGTTGGCTCTGTGATGGAAAACTACTGCGTTTGCTTGAAGCCAATAATTCAGGAAATTATGAAATATTCCAGGAGCAATGGATTCGGGGACAACCAGTTATTGTTTCAAATGTGTCTAATCTTTTAGACATGAATCTTTGGCATCCCAGCACATTTGCAAAAGATTTTGGAGCACAAAAAAATGATTTGGTTAATTGCATGAATGGAAGGACAGTTCCAAATCAACCTATGGAAAAATTTTGGGAGGGTTTTGAACATTTTTCAAAACGTTTGAAAGATGAAGATGGTAATCCAATGCTATTAAAATTAAAAGATTGGCCACCTGGGGAAGATTTTGCAGAATTGCTGCCAACTCGCTTTGAGGATTTAATGAAAGCATTACCTTTAGGAGAATATACAAAACGTAATGGAAAGTTAAATTTAGCTGGTTGTTTACCAGATTGTTTTGTAAGACCAGATTTAGGACCCAAAATGTATAATGCTTATGGTTCAGCTTTATATCAATCTAAGGGAACTACTAATTTACATTTAGATATATCTGATGCCGTTAATGTTATGGTTTATGTTGGGATTCCAAAAGATGCAGATTATGAAGAGCATATCAAGCAAGCTTTTGCAGCCATAGATGAAGCTGGCTGTGATATATTAACTAGACGACGAGTTAGAGAAAAAACAGAACTGCCTGGTGCTTTGTGGCATATATATGCAGCTAGTGATGCTGACAAAATCCGCGATCTACTAAATAAAGTGACTTTGGAAAGTGGAAATCGTCTTGAACCTCATCATGACCCAATTCATGATCAAAACTGGTATTTGGATAGGTACCTTAGGGGAAGATTATATAAAGAATATGGGGTTGAAGGATATGCAATTGTTCAGTGCTGGGGTGATGCTGTATTTATTCCAGCAGGAGCCCCTCATCAAGTGAGAAATTTACATAACTGTATAAAAGTAGCTGAGGATTTTGTTTCACCAGAAAATGTTAGCATATGTTCTCGTCTGACACAAGAATTTCGAGACCTATCCGATACCCATTCTAATCATGAAGATAAACTGCAAATTAAAAATATAATTTATCATGCCGTTAAAGATTCTTTAGCATATTTATCAGGATATTCCCAATCGGATGATCCTTTATATTAGGTGATAATATAAATTATAATAGAAATTATTGACAAATATTTATATTACATTTTTTTTGTATACATATTCTATAACGGAGTCATTGAGATATATTTATTCTAATAGTTTAATCTAACAAATTGTATACTAAATATATTTAAATTTTAATTTTATCTTAATATATAAAAAGAATTATTTTATTCATTTTATGTAAATACATAGCGCAATACATTATGAGAAAAATAATAAATCTGTGACATATTCAAAAAGATTTTATTATGTATTACATGGAAATTACTTGAACCACTTTTTTAAAACTATGTGGCATAAGTTATATAAAAGTAACTTTATATATTTATATATATACATGTATATATATTGCATTATTATAATAATGCAATAAACATGTAATATCATTACATGTTTATTGCATTAGGTGCAATATTTAATATATTTTAACCTATGTATATATACTATATATGTTCCTAATATATATATATATATATTCTTGAAATTTTTATTTTAACCAAATAGTCGAGATAAAAAACAATAAATAATTAACTATTAGCTATGTACATTTCGTCGAAACGTCGAGCATTTTCAACCAAATCTATTCTAAAAAACTATTTTACAAAGTTTTACAATATTGCTAGAAGATATAATAAATAAAATTATAGATACATACCAAAACCATGTACACAACACGTCTTAATTGTTCCATAAAAGAAAACAATAAAATAAAATAATAAACTAAGAGTTAAGCAATAAAATTATGTAGTAAGCCACATGACTGACGATATTCAATGGAAGTACCGCGAAATCACGCCATATAGATTCGAGGGGTTCACACAAACTTATTGGAAGAAATGTAAAACAAGGATCGGAAAAGACAAACAGAAAATAAAAAAGTATTAAAAAAACAATAAATATATTGAAGAATAAAAAATGTTAAATAAACATTTTATCTAATATAAGGTTCGACCATTTGGCTGCAAATAAACATTTCAAGAATATGTTTCAAAGACGAAAAAAAGTAAAATATATATCTATATATTACAAACACACACACACACACACATATATATATATATATATATATATATATATAATTTTTCTGAACTAAAAGTTAAGTATAGAGCGCTCTGTAATCAGAATAAGGGGATTCTTAAAATATTTAGTGTCTGGTACGTTCGGCAGCGCTGCACGCTGGACCGTGAAGCAGTGTTTCTTCTACTTAAAACACTGCCAATGCAAATGTATAATATATAATGTCCATCTAGACCCATTTAAATAAAATAATAATGCACATCCATTTAAAGCTACGGCAGATATTATCAACCATTCAGGCCATATTCAAACATTATAATGACGGTTTCAAAATGTGCCCGAACTTTACCTGCACCTTGGCTTATTGCCAAATTGTTTGGTACATATATTATTGTATATTTATTTATCCGATTGTTGTAAATGCACAATGTATTCTGAATTGTGACTCGATTTTAAGCTATTTTATTTATTTATTTTAAGCGTTTTTCAATGAGCGTATGTTACACATCTCTGATACAATTAGCTATAGCGATCGCACGAGTGATTCTTTATTACATCAGCATTGATTATAAATAATAAATAAATGATGCTAATCATCATTATTTACTTTAATATGTAATTTTGAAACGGATTTAATTTTTGTAAAATTAAGTTTTGTTCATTTAAAAATCTCATTTTTTGTTAAACAGAGGATATATATCTTCTATGTATATAAGATTATCATATAGAAACTAGGAATACCAAAAGGAAAACGAAATAAAATTTACATCAAAACAATTGTGACCATATTTTACTAATTTTGTTTAAAATAATGCTTCTGAATACAATGTTCTCCATTAATTATAATTTAATTTAAAAGAGAAAAACATATTTTTAGCACAGGCAAAAATTTATTCATTTCAATTCAAAAAGAAGTATAGAAACAAGCTAATCAATCACCCAAATACATTAGCAAACTCATTGATAACAGAGAACTATCGTAGAAGCATCGTAAAGGTTGAAAAGAAAAGCGCCACTGGATTTAAGCTATCAACTCTCCTGAGAAAAAAATGGAAATAACTTAATAATTATTTATAAGAAATTATTTAATAAGTAAATATTGTAAATTTTATATCGAAAAAACAACTACTGAGTTGTTTTTTCCAACAAGTCAAAGTTGTATACAATGTACCTTTTCGGCGGACTATTGTAAATCCATTAAATTTACTGAATGTCTTATACTGGACAGTTGTAAATAAATAAAAAAAAAAAATTCAATTCAAAAATACTACTAAAATAAAAATATAGTTGTATTATAGCAAAAATAAGATTAAAAAATGTATTAAAAAAATTATTTGATCGATTTATGACATTTGAATAATTAGCTTGTAAAGTTTTTTTTATTTTATTGCAGTTCAGGAAGTTAAATTGTTTGAATTATTTAGTTTATTTTAAACTAAAAGTGAATTATAAACATGTTTACTCGCTAGAGGTAGACAGAATATACATATGTATTTGCGAGAATTAATATTATATTTGTTCATATAATTAATTATCTAATGATTATAAAGTATATGCTCGTAAAATGACTATAAAATTTCTTGGATTGATTTGTCGATTATGAGTAAGTTTATTATTATTTACAATTATTGAAATATGAAACGTTATCGTAAGTTACAAAAAGCGCGGCACTTTGTTCGTTTACCGTCACCGAGCCGTTTCATGAATTTGATTGGTCGTGATTCACGCCCAGCGAAAGTATCGAGCTAGTCGCTTGCTGATGGCTATTTCACGAGCATACAAACCATTCTAGTAGGAATTGTGCCCATATGTAGTATTGTACTTTTCTTGTAAATATGACTAAATGTTACATTCTTATGCATTTAATGTAGCATTATATGTCGATCGAAGCCAATTCGATAAACAAGCAAAGCCCGTTTTATCGAGTCTTATCTATAGTGAATGAGTGAAAGCAATAAGTTTTTATTTTAAGCGTCATGTTAAAGGCGCGATAATATGATCATTTAGGCCGATACAGAAATAACATTTAGCCTAAAATGATTAAAATGTCTACAGATAGTGTTACCACAGACAAAAGGTTTGATTGTACTTTGAACAAATTGAAAAAGTCGCGAAAGATATACGAAACTATGCATGTATCGTTCCGCTCATCGGCTTCATGGCCGTTGGTCTATCGGTTCCAAAATGGCGAATGAGATCATGTAGCGTACTCATGTTCAACTTTATGAATAATTTTATATTATCCTAGAAACATTACGATCTCTTATTAATTAAATGAAAATAATAGAATCGATTGATATAATTAAATTTCGTAGTTAATTATGAACGGTAATGTAATGGTTTCGTAATCTTTTTAAATGAATAAATTTTTAATTATTTAAATCTAATTACGTAATAACTATCTACGTATCGCTTTATTTGATGCTAGTTAACGCACTAATTTAATAGGGGAACATACAAATTAGTATTAATAGCGATGCTCGATAACCAAAGCGAGGACAAATGATATCGATCCGAGACATAACTGAAAAAAAATTAAGGTCAAATGCTCATTTTTCTGACCGAATATTTTTGATTATACTTTCATATTTGAAATTAAGTGAATGAAATTTATAAAGCAATTTTGAGGTGCTGCATACTTTCGGTAATTTGCAACGTAGTAATTTAAACTTATTAAGGCTGATTTATTGAATAGTGAACGATGGCCTTTTGCTCTTTGGGCTTGACGTTATCGATTTCGCACCCATACTCGCATACGAAAACCTATGTCGACGTTGCTCGTTATCTTATCTGTCGTACGCGTCGAAATTCTTTTCATTCATACATTTGCTCGCATTATACACAGTATAATAGTAATAACAAAAGGTGTAGGCTGATTATTATCGAAATAACTTTATAATCCAGATAACGTAATGTATATAAAATTCTTTTTATTTTTAAATATACGCGGACGTAAATGGTTTTGTTAATATTAGATATTAGTTTTATTTTTAACAAACAAACGACTCATATTTCATATTTGATTGTTATATAATCGTTTTACCTTGAATCGTAGATCTTACATTACGTATGGCGCTTTACTCATGACTTGCAAAACTGTTCTATTTTATAAAAAACGAAACAAATTTATCTTAATATAGTACAGCAATCTTTTTTCACAAATTTTAAAATTAAAATTTTTATCATTTGAAACTTGTTTCGAAATGCATATGGTAATATAAATGAATTGTAGTACAGGTACATTACAATTTTAAAAAAAGCTTATATACAATTAGGGTACTTTTATAAAAGCTTGAATCATTACTAATTTAAGTTTTAATAAATGATAAGATATGATTTGTTTTTTGCTTATAATATACATTTTTGTCAAAGCTAAATAAATGATCTAAAAAAATATACGTTATGTACGTCCTATCCACGCACACATTTGGTACATGTACACACGTTGATACTTCATTAATATTATTCAAATATTTAGATTTTCCTCCATTTTTTTCAAATATTTTAGTTTTTTTTATTGCTTTTATTGAATATCGTTAATTATTTATTTTCGTTATAACTGTGATAGCAAACTCACAAAAATTTTGGTAATTTAATTCTGCTTAACTTAATTTTTACATGATATTATTAAATATTTGAATATAAATTTACGATATTTCAATATTTAGGCCTGATACTTAGGTATAAATAGACTATTTTTCCATTCCACACAAGTCGTGGTAAAACAAGGGAGTTGAATTTTAGAAACCTTATATTACAAGAATGTCGATGTTGCTAGTTTGAAATGTGATGCTCCTATTATCCATTTATGATGGTAAGTTGAACGTAAATTACTCTACAACAATAAAATATAATTTGGATTCAATGGGATACTTTAATATGAAACTTGGTTAAAAGTATTGTTTTGAAAAGAGAAGTTATGTAATGAACCATATATTTAAAGAATTTTATCATTATCAAAATTCCATCGCAAGTTTTCTTTGCTTAATAATGAGTAATAAAATTTGTTTGTAGATTCCTACTTTCAGGAATCTTAACAATCTAAAATAAATATTTCGAAGTTGCGTGTTGGGACTCCAACCGCAAATCGAATGGAGGTGACAATGGTAAGATATACTATTCAATAGCGAAAAATTATGCTACGGCATAAACATTTGTTTATTGAAGATTTCAGGAATAAGAATCTGCAAGCAAAATTGTTTACTCAAAGCACCATACTTTGGGCTTTATTTAGCTGTCCCCAGTAATAACATTTTTCAAAAAGCTTTATTTAAATTATTTTCTATAAAGTTATTACTCAGAACACATATAATCTCAATCAGACCATTTTTTCGAGCTGTAGTAAATACTATAAATATATTTGATATTTGAAGAAGATAATAAAAATAGACCGACTTATGGAGCTGGCAACATCGATGTACTTTTAATATACAGACTATGTAAAACAAGAACTTAATGGTATTCCTCGAGTTCCTTAAATATGATTTATAAATTAGCATTCAATACTATTAGCTGAGAGCAGTTTTGTTCTTAAAGTTGAAGAGTTTTGATTCAAGTTAGTAAGATTATTATTTTTATCGCCAACTGCGAGTTAAATCGAACATTTAAAATAATCTTTATATTACTAACCTTAGCGAGTTTTTGTTATTGTATTACCCTTGTATTACCCAAAATAGATCAGTGTGAAATAAGTTAGAAAATGGACAGATTTTGAAAACTAGCTGATCACTATTAACTTTTGTAATGCCAAACATTTATTAACCCATTCGATACCGATTGTGCACCGTGTGTGCAATAATAATAGAGCAAATTATCAGTTATTCTGAGTAAAATAGTCTTCGAAATAAGATTTTTTTTAAAATATAGAAAAACTAAATTTGGCATTGGTTTTATTGCAAACATTTTTTTGGAATTTCGAAATCTACATTTTTAGAAAATATCAATGTGAACACCCATATTTATCTAATTCTATTTTTCAAATTTATCACCAACAGCAATAGTATCGCCTTCTATATATACCGCCTAAACGAACAAAATAAGAAATAATTTATTTCTTGTTTATATTATTTTCTTCATTATTAATCTTATTTTATTGACTTTATAATATTTCTTAAAAAATTTCTTCGCATTTTATTCTGGATTACATTATTGAAAGAGCAACATAACAATTTTATATTATCTAATTATTTTTAAAATATTTTTATCAATTTTAATGATGTATTTTTATTTTACCTGACTTTGCACATATGGTATTCAATCCGCTTCTTGCAATAAATATTTTCTGAGGAGCGAGTTGCACACACGGCGTGCAATCATCTTATTTATAAAAATTTGCTTACGAATTGGGTGATTTCCGTAGTAAACAAGTTTTTTTTTTATTAAAAATGAACAATATAAATAGAAAATAAATTTTCCCTTCTAGAGACCACGTTCGAAAGAAAATCGCCGTCTCGAATGGGTTAAACTTATCTGATTGCCATCTAAAAATATATTTGGCTTTCATTGTTGTACCAAGAAAATATTTTTACCATAATTGCAATTAGATTAAGAACTAATCGATTTTATTCGAATAATTTGGAATAAAGTGTTTTCGATTTGATAGCTTTCAATTCTACGAATTTTAGTCAGTCCACAAATTTTAGATAAACACTTTTGTAAAATTATGCGCTTAAAGATTGAAAATATGAAATGTTTGAAATTATTGTTTTGCTGCTGTTATATTATACCGTTCAGGATATTTATATAATTAGGGCGGGTCGATTTAAAGGTCACTTAGGCACATATGATTTTCGGATACTAGGGATCTAAATAAAATACTTTGCTGAAGAAACCATACCTCTGAAATGAATTCTGATGCCCCATACAATGGCCCAAAAATAAGGGTTGAATGTTGAAAAACCGCTCAGGAGAGGTCCCAGGGGATAAACCACGGGCATAGGTGAATCAGCTTTCCAAATTTATTGGGGGTCATACATTTGGACGCCATTGGGACACTCTAAATGGAATTTTTTAAATTTCAACTTTTATTTTTGGGTCATTGCACGGGACATCAGAATTCATTGTAGAGGTATAGTTTCTTCAGCAAAGTATCTTATTTTGATTCCTAGTATTTGAAAGTAATGTGTGCCTAAGCGACTTTTTTGACCCATACAAATCGACCCCCTCTAATATATATATATATATATATATATATATATACATATATATATATATATATATATATATATACATATATGTGTGTGTGTGTTTTTTTTTGTCGGCGTTGGTTTTATAATTTTCGTGAAGATCATACTTCTTTGTCTGCTTCGCAAATGTTATTACATTAATAATGGTTCGTGCACCTTATATTATACTGAAAAACGTTAAAATCAATTCTTATTATATAACACACGCGACAATAATTTTATTTCATAAGTAGCAATTAATTTTACTTTTAAGAAGTTATTCTTTGAAAATTTACAGATTGTTAAGATCATCTATACTATAACATAATTCTTTTCCTCATAGGATTTCTGTTTCATAAATAACAAGCGTTTCATTTGGTTGCCGTAGGAATGCGTTACGTATGAAATCAACGAGCATTGCTAACATAGTTACGAACTTAGTTTTGTGCTATTTTATATTTAATATGAGGAAATTTAAAGACTTGCAATCGTAAATTGATTTGCTTGCGACTTTGGTTTACAGAGATTATCTTCTAGAACGTTATAAATAATTCAAACAGTAATAGATTTTAATTATTTTGAGAAAGTATGTATTCTAGCACGTACAGTACGATATATTGCATTTTAAAGGAAACAAGAACAAAAAAATGAAGTTATTTCTACTTGTTTACTACGATTCATCATTCGGTTCGCTGATATAAGCCGTTACGATTAAGAGTAAAAAGGATTCAATTATCATAAATTAGGAAAATAGGTCATTGCTAACTATAAATAGCATTTGTTGAAATTGAATATTTTTATTGCATTAATGATACAATATTCGATGGTGTTAACAAAGCCATTTAACTTACTATTTACGCTTCAGCATATGTTTCTTATCTGTGCTTCCAGCATGGACAAAATGCTCATATGATTCGCTAACACATTAATGCCCTCATAGTTATATCTATAAAAAAACGGTATGGTAAACATTTTTGGACGATTTTATGAATGAAACTGATTTTTTTCTGAATACTTTCATTTGCCATGGCCGTTTTGTTTTTCTAATTATTTTTATTGAAAATTTGTGCGTTAAGTTCGTTGATGCCCGTATCATGATCCAGTAAGGATGTTGTCCATAAGTTGCTGGAGTTGTTTACCATTTTTTCATCCTCTATGTTTCTGCTCTCTCGCGAAATATTTATTCTAAAAACTTTTTTTATACTTTTGCAAAACTATGTGCAAATGAAAAGAACAGCGTTTCAGTCATGTCGCCTCACTTTAAACTCCAATAATTAATATTTTACTGCTGAACTTATATGTATTTATTCAAAATTCTAAATTACAAATACAAAATTAATACATGGGTTAAATTTCTATATAAGTATTATTGTTTAAAAAGTTCTGAATAAGTGTCGTTATTGATTTTTTTTAATATGATATTGTCTACGGCATAGTTTGTATAAAGTGTTGTATTTTTTATAAGGGTCCATCCTCCGGCTGAGAATTCGGAGGATTTAGAGGACGGTGAGATAGAAACTGATGATGAGGACAATAATAAACCAGCAGAACCTGTTAAGCCTGTAGAAATTGTTAAGCCACAATCCCCAGTTACACTGAAAACTTCAGAAAATGCCAAATACAGTGATAAAAAGCCATATTATAAAGAAAAATATAAGAAATCCAGCAAACACAGCAAAGAAAAAAGATCTAAGAGTATCTCTGAATCAAATCACTGTGACATTAATAATGAAGGTATACTAGAACATACAATTACTTCAAGTTGATATAAAATTGTGATGACCACTAGTTCTGTACTAAAATTATTTTACTACCCCAAAATAATTTTATATTGCCATAGAATTGAAGAAACATAGAGTTTTATGATTAATAAATTACTTATTAATTATTACTTATTAAATCAATTACAAATATGTTTGAATTTGCTTGATAATTCTTTTTCCTCTCCAATTATCTAAATGACCACATTCATAGACACTATATGCTTGAAATATCTTTTTATTTAAAATGAGACCTTCTACAAATAAATAATAAGCAAACTCAAGATATCTCAAATGCTTAACATTCAACCCTTTCCACTCGCTAATTGCGGAATTTATACGTATTTTGCCGCCGGAGCGGCGGCACCCGAGTCGAATGGGTTGAATGTTGGTTTTGGTCAGACATACCAGGTTTTTTGGTCTCAGAAGTTTGTTTAGTATATAAACTGTAATAGTATATATTTAAATTTTCAGATGACTGGGCATCTAATGTTGAAAAAGCTATTGCAAATGCAATAAGGAAAGAAAGTGATAATAATGACACTAATTCATGTGATAATAAGGATAATAAGGAAGGAAGTAAAGATAGTCGTGGTAGAAAAAGAAGAAATAAATCTTCCAAAGGATCTTCCAATAAGGAATCTTCCAGTAAAAGGGTAAAAATGTTTCTATAATAATAAATGTTTTTAAAAGTTTTAACTTAACTTTTTCCAATGTATTGAGTATTTGAATATTTTCTATAATTATTAATATTTAATTATATTAATATTTAAACTTATTGACTTTGCTTGATATAATATAATATAATCAGTAATTAATAAAGGATGTTGATGTTTTTATAATGGCCAGTTGTAGTAGGATATACGTAGGTTATATCCTACTACTATTAAATTAACCCTTTTCTTTTTAATTTTGCCGCCGGAGCGGGGCCACCCGAGTAGAAAGAGTTAATAATTATTTTACTATTAAATTAACAATTAGTTATTTTTATAAACAATAAATATTCTTTTAGCCTAAAGTTGAAAAAGTCAAGGAATCCAGCATACCTGATGAAGATATTGATGAAGATGAACTTCTTGGTATTAGGGGTGGCAGTCCTATCAATAACCTTCCAAACCCTTTGAAAATTGAAAGTGTGTATTTGTAATAACTAATGTTGCAGTATCAATTTATTTTCGCAAATTTACAAGCTTCTTTATTTGCAGACTTTTCAGTTGATACCATCAACCAGTATGATTCTTACTCCAGTGGAGAAAGTCATGATTCAGATGGCTCACGAAGTTTTGATGATCGTTCAAAACGTAGGCAGTCAAGAGGAAGTAAGTGTGTGTTATTTTGAGAGGAAAATTTATTGCAGAATTAAACAATTGTTTTTACAGCTTCAAGAAGACATGAGAGAAAGGGGTTTAAACGGCGTAATAACTCCAGCAGCAGGGATTGCCATCCTCTACAAGAACCAGATGGAGTCTGTTTATTTTTTATGCAAGGAAAATGTCAAAAGGTAACTTTCATGACAAAATACTATAAAACTTTATCATTATTGATATTGAAGAACATCATGTTAATTGGCAATTCATTGTTTTGTTTGTTAAGAATGATGACTGTCAATATTCTCATGATGCGGAACCGACTCGTAAAATGGAATTGTGTAAATTCTATTTGATGGACTGCTGTGCTAAAAAAGATAAATGCCTATATTTGCATTCAGATTTTCCTTGCAAATTTTACCATATGGGTTTAAAATGTTTTCAAAAGGATGATTGTAAATTTGCTCATGGGAAACCTTTGACCAGTGATTTTAAAAATATTCTTTTGAAGGTATTTTTTAATATAACTTAATACAATTAGTTGAACTTTAACTTTAATATATTGGTGTTAATGGCTGTTTCAAATAATATGTTCAATTTCAAATAATATTAATAATTAGGATTAACATTTTAACATTGAAGTTTTTGGTGTGGAATGACTTACATTTAATATATGTACTAATAAATAACTATTAATAATTGCAATAAATAACTGTTAATAATTGTTAATTTGCAGCATATAGAAACAGCTCCAAAAGAAATTCTTGGAGATTTTCCACGTCTCAGTAGAGAAGGTATACTTTAGCAATTTATTTCTCTGAATTGATTTTTTGTCTCAAAATCATATATTATATATACATAATATTTTTAATTATTTTATAGGTGCTTTGAATATGGTTAATGCAACACAACAGAAACTTATGGAGCAACAAAAAACCCATGGGGTTACAAAATCTCCAATACCTTCATTATTTGAATTAAATATTCCCAAGCCTAAAAGTTTAGAAGGTTAGACTAAATTAATATTATTTCTAAATAATATAATAAATTAATAATTTTTTTTTATTGAATTGTTTCATCGCTTTACCAATAGTAAAATTCTTGATTAATTTTTAGCTGTATGTTGTTTATAAGTATTCATTATCTTTTGCATGCTGTTTTATAAACTTTGACAATGTGTAATTTTATAAAGAAACAAATAAGTATATTTACAATTTCAGTTAAAAGTAGCAGATCCAGTAAAACATCTTCGGGTGTCAGAAAATCCAGGTGGTGTAATTCTCAACATTCATCTGATCCTAATGCTAAATCATCTTCCAGCTCATCACAAAACCATAATACAAATCAAAACCAAAATTATTTAAATATTCAGAATTTAAATGGATTGCTTACATCCAAACAAATAAATGAGTTATCATTACTGGGAGTAACTAAATTAGATGAACTCAACCAATTAACAGTGAAGCAATTGAATGATCTAGGAATTACGATGATTCAGATTAATGAGATTCAACTGAATGCATTGAATATTCAAAAAATAACAAATTTGACGGCTTCTAATTCCAAGGCTGGGATACCATTTACAGCTGAAAATGGTAAAGATTTAGATTTGAGAATACCACCACCACAGCTGAGAAATGATATGTAAGTAAAAATTACTATTTTTTCAATCCAGTGGGGTCAAAACTTATTCGCTCTTCAAGACATACTCTTTTTACATATTTTTCTATTTAAAACAGCATTGTAAACACTACTTAAAACATTACTGTTTGTTGGCAAAACATTACAATATTGATCTAAATAATTGCACCAATATGAGTTTAACAACCTTAACTAAAATAAAACATTTGATTTTTAACATTTGAATCATCTTAAACTTTTTCTAATTTCTTGCTTTGCTTTTGATTTTGTGAATGGGCGTGCTATTGTTTTATTCATGTATACACGTTTATATTATATATTGAGTTTATATAAATATGTGTGTATATATATATATATATATACACACACACATATTTATATAAACTCAATATATAATATATATATTATATATTTATATATAATATATATTAAAAAAAACATCAATATTTCAGAGTTTCTTTAGAGACATGTAATAAAGATGTAGACATGCGAATGATGCCAATAAAAAATAGTGATAAAAATAATTTGAATACAGTTGAGATTATGCCTGATTTGGGTGTTAATAAAAAAGACAATTCGCAATACTCCACACAAAATAAAGTCGACGAGAAGTTTTTAACAGAAAATAAGATGCAAGCAGCTCCTGTGATCGATTTTTCGCAATATCTTAAAGATTCTAGATTAAATTTGGATAAGGAGGTAAGAAGCAATGATATTGATGATCGAAAAAATGAAGAAGGAAAAGAAAATGAAAGCAATACCAAATTGTTCAAAAAATCACTTGAGAATAAATTAGATGGTGGTAAGTTTATTTTATGAATTTCTATTTTATCTATATATATATGTATATATCTACAAATCTACAAATCTAGACATATACAAATGCCAGCAAAATCTGATGATATCTTGCTGATTCATTATATATATATATATATATATATATATATATATATATTAATATATTAATATAAACTATTGAACTATTGATTGATGTATCTTCTGCGATCCTTAAATTTTGACCTTTTTTGGATTGCTTCGCCCAGTTTCATCCGCTAAAAATTTCTACACTATATGCTGCTATTTAGTCTACTTTAGTCTTTAGTTTACTTGCTGGTACTTCAATCAAAAATTTCAACCCATTAAAATATAAAAAATATGATATGTTCAAATGAGACTTATATCAATTACATAATAAAAAAAAAATTATAATAATTGTAGTCCTTAAAAATAATTGAAAAAGGTTCTGTGTCCAAACCAACCAAATGTTTTTTTTAACAACTCCTAATGAAACGGTACTCATATATCCAAATGTCATAAAGTTGTTACATTTTCAGATAAAATTATCAGATTGTTATTTTTCAGATAATAAAGTGGATGTGATGTCTAAACTTACTAATGAAATTGACAAACTCTTAGACAGTGTAGTTGATGATGATGAAGCTTTACAAATTGATGAAAATTTGTATTATTCTGACGAAGGAGTAAGTGAATCATTATTGGATGTTTATGAATAGCAATACTTCACTCTTTTTACCTAATTTAATTTTAATAACTCAAATTAATATTATGTAATATTATATATATCTCCAATATATATATATATATATATATATATATATATATATATATATATATATTGGAGTGGGTAGATTTATATGGGTCAAAAAAAGTCGCTTAGGCACACATGATTTTTGAATATTAGGGATCAAACTTTTATATTTATGGTCATTCTGGTGTGCGGTAAAAACATATAACATTAAGCTATTATTTTATTTGTTTGGAAAACTATTAGAATTGAACGAAAAATCTGTTATTAATATGCATTAATTATGTATATATATTTTTAATGTGATGAGTCAAAAAATAAAAAAAATATTTAAAAGATTTAAAAAATAAAATTTGAATATTTTTCAGAAATTATATAAACTATGATAAATTTTTATCATGACGATATGAAACTTTGAATGATAAGAGCTAAATGTTTAATATATGTGAAGATGTAGAGAATTCATTTTTAATTTTTTGATTACTAGTTAATTATTTATTGTCATTATTTGTTTTAGGCACAAGAAACTAATGTTAACTCAAATGATGAGGTTAATCTGGATAACAGTAAGGAGGAAAGCAAAAACAATGAGAAGAAAATGTAATAGACTCAAAACATGTTAAACTCCTTGTTTCTTTTCATTGTGCTAAATATATGTATTTATTTTCAGAGAAATAAGTTACCTACCTGAGTTGCCTGCATCTTACAGTGCTAATCTTATATCTTCTAACTGTGATAGCATGGAAATAAAATCTCCTGAGATAGACAAGCAGGATACTAATTCAGCACCAGAAGCCCAGTGTGAATCAGAAGCTGATACTGACTTTCGGAAGAATGCTGATACGGATCTGCGGCGAACTACTTTTGGTGATACAGATTTACGACATGTGAGGATGGACACTGACTTAAGAAGAGTTTCTAAAGATATAGATTTAAGGAAAAGTAAAATAAACAAAGATGTTGACTTAAGACTCACTTCATCTCTAGAAATGCCGTTTAAACCAGTGACCCAATATACACCTGCATCTGAAATAGATGGCTCAATAACTTCCCATCCTCCTATTATTTATAAAGTGTATGAAATTGAAGTTTCTGCTCCTGATTATAGTAATATCATTCGATCTATTCCGCAATCTCAAGCTTTAATAGATCCACGGTTAAAGAAGATTTTTAAATTATCTTCAGATTCTCCAAAAACTGTAGAAGAGCCCGCCCCTGAATCTGTTAATTCTGCAGATGCAGCACCAAAAAAACCAAGGGTGGACCCTAGAAAACGTAAAGTGGAAATTGTAGAAGTGCCAAATTTATCACCAAAAGCATCAGTTTTAGACATTCAAGTTGTATTACAAACTTCCGATTGGTACAAAGAATTAAGTACAAATCAAAAAATTATGGTTAATCAACAACTGGCAGCCGTTTCAGGGTTATTGAAACAGTTCAATCAAGATAAAAATCCTAATAAAATTTTTGATCTCGCTCCCATCAAATCAAATCCTATTTTATGCTCAATTCTCCATAATTTAGGTATTTATCTAACAGAAAATGGTCAGTTTGCTTATATTAAAGATAGTGTTGAACTAAATAGAAATCCACCAATGATAGAATCCATTCCACCTCACATAAATATGGGCCCAGTTTCTATGGGTCCTTGTATGAACCAGTTGCCCATGATGCCTGGAAATATGATGAATCCTCCGGGTTTTGATAATAGATTTCAACCTGGGGATCCTAGAGTGGGCAATGGATTATTGGGACCTGCTCCAAATATGCCTCTTGATGGATATAATATTAATGGACAATATAATCATGATAATTACAATCAAAACTTCATGAATTATGGATTCAATAATGATCTCCCATGTGATGAAGAAAATTATTACAATATGAATCATAATAATATGAATCCTAATAATATGAATCCTAATAATATGAATCTTAATAATATGAGAGGTAATAGAAATGATGTTCCCCATAGCAATCATGAACACTGGAACAATAGGCATGATCGAAATATTGGCCCTAGAAGAAATTTTAATGATAGAGGGCGAGGTGGCGGTCATAGACCACGGGATCGAGGTGGGGGTTCTAGGAAGGATAAGATGAATAGGAAATAATTTAATTTAGGATATAATCTGTAAATAGATTTTAATTTATATGGTAAAAACTTAGTTTTGCAGTATTTTTATGCAAAAGCAATAATATTTATGACAGTTTTGATGACAATTTATTTTAATTATTAGAAGATTCAAGAACTTATATTGGTTGTTGCAAATTATTTATTTATTAGTAGGTTAAATTGTATTATATATATATATATATATATATATATATATATATATATAAAGGTATACAAAATATATGTACACACATATTTTATATATTTTTTCTATTACATGGTAAAAATGATGAATGTGTATATATAGTGTTAGAAAAATATTTTGTAAAAATTTATACATTATTATGTAAAAGTGATACATGCAAATAGTAATAATTTAGAGAAATTCCATCATTGATTTAAATAAAACATAAGCAAGCTAAAATGATAAAAATTTTACATAAAAACTATGTTCACACTTAAATTATGTAACTAATGTGATAAATTAAAAAAATCATAAATTAATGTTTTAGTGTTTTGTGGTATTTGTTGTTTTACATTAGTATTTTTTTATATACGTATAATATGTAAGTGATATGTGTGGTGAGTTTTATCGTGTTTAAAAGTTTGTTCAGTTACAATTTGTCTACAAGTTTGTCTCAATTAAAATAAAAAAAAAAATTAGTATCAAAATTATGTAAGTTTATGGTTAATATTAGGGACGACATTGACAAAAAAACCTTATTGACAGAACTGAAGTGGATTTGTTGATATTTATTTAATTAATTTTCGGACTATTTAAAAGCCAAATTCAACATAAATACTATGATAGACCTAAATTCTATTTTGTCTGTCTACTAAATACTTGCGAAAATCGTTTTGTTTAGTGAATTCATATAAGTGTTTAATAATACACTAATTAATTTATTCATGTGTTCATTTAAATTAATTAACTTGAAAATCTTTTTGTGTGGAATATTATTTGTAGTTGCCAGCTAGTTAAATATAGGAATAAAAGAAATATGGGATAATGGCGTGTTAAAAATAAGAAGTTAAGGAATGATATTTATGATGTGTTAAAAATTAATCAATCATTATTTTAATATATAGCATCAGTCATGCATCAGTTTAGCAAACAGTGCTAAAAGTTTGAAAGGGATTGCACAATGTCTGTCTTTTGGTTCCACATTTATTTCAATAATTACAAGTTTATGAAGGTAACTAATTATCATGTAATTATATTGTATAAATCATAATTATTGAATGTAAGAAAAATGCACAATTCTATTAAAAATTTCGATTACTAAAATATTTGCTAATATTTCTGCCATAGATAAATAAGCATGGTCAGGTAGGCACTTCTTTCAGGTATACTCTTTTTTATCTATGGGTTAAGTTAGGCATTCATTCATTTTTACACAAACCATGGATCAAAAATGACTTAAAATGAAATATGCCGGCGTATTCAGTTTTTGTGCAAGACCGTTGGTGACAGATCACATGTCGCAAAAACGATCTATTTGTAATATATGTTGCATATATTACAAATAGATCGTTTTTGCGAGATATTACTAAATATATTACTATAGTAAGAATTACTATTTGCTTTTAACTACTGCTAATTGCTATTAACTATTAATAATTATACTAATTGAAAATAGAATTTAATATCATAGTTTCCATCTATATGCAAAAAAATGCAATTTATTTCTTTTATTTTAATTTATTTCTATTTAAATTTTCTATCTTGTGTCGCAATCGCAACAATATATTTGTAATTTGCAAACTTTTGCCGCAAGAGTCGCAAACCTTGAAAATGGCACGTGTGCCGTGCGTCTAATGCGATTTGGTTTTGAGTTAAATTAACTGATGTAGTGGCTGCTCTTCTTACCTTACTTGACAGATGACAGCTTAGTTCATTTTCTAAATATTACAAAATAGTGTGTCCTGAGGACAACATTAAAGAGTTCTTATGTTTAATATCAGTATCATGTTTTGATACTAGATTAGATATTATTTCTATATTTGGAAATAATAATAATGCAACCGAAAGTATGCGAAAAAATACATAAATCGTACATTCGCAAAAAAAGACTTAGCACACTCAACTACAACCTTTTTTTAATATATTAGATATCTATTTTATATCTATTAGTGATAAATAATAAATAATAACATGTAATATAAATAACTTCTCTCTTCATTTTTTGATTACACTGTAACATTGAATTAAAATCTTCTTAAGATGCTTAAATACGTAACAAGACGATTCAGAGATACCTATGAGAAAGGTTGTAATATTTTGTACACCAGAAAAACTTGGACGTACACAGAGAAAGAAAATATACACATAGAGAAGTCTCAATCTCCTTCAGCTGAAGATAACACAGGATCGAAGAATTCTGATGAATATCCTAAAAACGATTTTGATGCTGGAAAGTACCAAACATCATGGTTGCAAGCTGTTAAATGGAGTAGTGCATTTATTATCAGCTGGTATGCTACTCAATTTGCATACCTCAACTGCAAACGCAGCTGCAGAGCCCGCTTGCAAAACTCTTTCTTGTGTGTCGGACATAATTATAATGTAAACCATAATATTTTATCTGGATTATCATATGTGCAGCCGAAATTAAATCAGCAACATGCATCATTCAATGTGTACAATGTAGGATATGAAACGAAGCATCAAACTTCACTTCATAACAAGCCTGAAAACCAAAATGATTCTGTTAACGAAACATCATTTGAAGAGGCTTCTGATCATTTTGAAAAAATTGTTGGCCAAATTGAAAATAAGTTAGGTGTTGCAAACATAATTTCTGGTGATATTATATCAGGGCTCTCTCAGTTAAAGTCGGGAGCTGTCCATGGCAATGCCGCTGCTAATTTTAATCTCGGTTTATGCCATGAGTTGGGCATTGGAGTAGAAAAGAATTTTGAACAAGCTGAAAATTATTATTGTGAGGCCGCCAAGAAGGGACACACAGATGCAATGTATAATTTGGGAATATTTTACATTCAAGGCAGGCCAGGAATCAAAATTGATTACAATCAAGCAAGAAGATTTTTTTTTGAAGCAGCACAGAAAGGTCATTCAAAAGCTGCAGATGCTTTAAAAATGGATCCGATTGGATATTTAGTGATGCAACAAAATATTGTAAATATTTCTCAAAAAACCATCAGTATATAATCAAATGTAATTTGATTTGTTGGATTTAATATGTTGGTTTGTGTGAAATTTTAGAGTTACATACATTTCATTTCATATACAAAATCATTATATATATATATATCATATATATATATATATCTATATATATATATATATATATAAAAATACAAAAATATTAGGTGGTTTATTATTATTATTATTGTAACATATAATTATATCTGATATAATTTAATTTGTGGAGTGATATACAATAAGTATCAATAATATGGTTTAAAATAGTTACAATAAATTTGTTAGTAAGTAGTTATTATTTGATTTTTTTTTACTTTTGCATAACTCTTGAATTTTAATTCTGATGAAAATTGATTTAAAATAAGTGATTATATATATATATATATATATATATATATATATACAAAATATTGTAAAATTTCTCAAAAACCATCAGTATAATCAAATGTAATTGATTTGTTGATTTAATATGTTGTTTGTGTGAAATTTTAGAGATACATTCATTTCATTTCATATACAAAATCTTTAAAACAACTTATAAATAATATAATACATATATATAAAAAATACAAAAATATTAGGTGGTTTATTATGATTATTATTGTAACTTAAAATTATATCTGATATAATTTAATTTGTAAAGTGATATACAATAAGTATCAATAATATGGTTTAAAATCGTTACAATAAATTTGTTAGTAAGTAGTTATTATTTGATTCATTTTTACTTTTGCATAATTCTTGAATTTAAATTCTGATGAAAACTGATTTAAATTAAGTGATTATATTAGGTATATATTATATATATATATATATGTATATAATATATATATATATATATATATATAACCCAAAATATGCAAAATGTAAAACTTTCATAAGAATTGTTTTATTATTCAAATTAATATAATTTAGTATCATATTGTAAGTAATTGTATGTATACACATATAATTATATAGACACACCACACACACACACACATATATATATATATATATATATATATATATATATAATAATATGTGTGGATGCATATACAAAAGTATATGAAAGACTGTATACAAAGAGTGAAAAAGTAATATCAAATGTGTTTATAATTCATATATAAGTAGTTAATAACTCATCAGATATAAAAATTATTTGTTTAATTGAAACTGTAATTTCAATAAAAAGATTTATTTCTGTACACTTTGAGTTTTTATGCATTAAAACTTTTATGTCCTTTATATTATATATTACTTGGGTAAATTGTTTATATATATATATATATATATATATATTATATATATTTATATATATATACATTTATATATGGGCTTTAGATTTTTTTGTTCGACGTTGAGAGATATTGTGAAATGTTAATTTGCAGCCAAATAGTTGAATTGAAAAAACAATAAACAAAGACATACTATGAAACGTACAAAATGTATAGTTCAATTATTAACTTTCCGTAGGGTAAGTTATAGTAATGGGCCAAAAATAGAAAATATTTTTTTTAATATCTTCACGTTATAGAAGTTTCTGAACATTTTGGCATACCTATTTGGCTGCATGGATGAACCGATTTGAAATTCAAAAAGCAATCGATTTCCAATGATAGGGAGATGTGCTGATTGGTTTTGGCAAAGACAGGTTCCAGCGGCTTCGGAGACATGGGACAAAAAGAGCTAAAAATGTCAGTTTTAAGAGAACGGATCAACCGATTTGAATGATCCAAAAAACATTCGATTCGTAATGATGAAGAAAGTTGTGATTACATTTTAGCAAAGGCAGGTCCAGCCATTTTCGAGATACAGAGCTAAATGTTTAACTATATCACCATAACATTACTGTATAACATGTGCCCTGCGCAGCTCCAGGGCACTCCGGGCCCGATACTACTTCGGAAAAATGAATTTTTCTTTCATACTCAGTGAAAAACAATAGTGAATAGTGAAGAGTGGTTCACATAGTCGTGGTCAAGACAAGAACTTATAATTGAGAAGTTTTTTATACCTCAATGAATACGAAACAAATTTTTATATGATTTCCTATATTTCGCAAGAAAATCCGAATTGGCAATTTTGTGTTTTCGGGACGTTTCTCTTCTTCTAGGCCAAATTTGGATAAAGTATGTATTTGTGTCTATGTGGGCGATGTTTGACGTTTTCTCAAAAACGACTAAACCTATTTCAAACATTTAATAGCCATTAGATGTAAGTCTTGACGATCGGCCAAGCTGTTTCTTTATAAAAATCAGAAGGTGCAAATTTTTTGTTTGGATTACGACTAGTGATCGACTAAATTAATCATCAATTAGCATCAATTGGACGCGATCGGAATAAAAATTTAAATAGCGTTCAGACCTAGACGGCTGGACGGTCACTATACTAATGGTTTGCTTGTATCGTCCAAAAATCGAAATTGAAATTTTTTACATTTCTCGACGTTTTGAAGTTTTCTGAACATTTTGGCATATCTCAGAAAAAATGGATGTTGTGTGTGTATGAATACAATTGTATAATTACATTTCTTCGTCCACGTTTTCGGGCGCACGGATTAACCGATTTGAATGGTTAAAAAACATTCGATTTCTATTGATAGGGAGATATGCAGATTAGTTTTTGGCAAAGGCAGGTCCAGCCGTTTCTAAGATACAGAGCAAAGAGTGCAGAAAATAGAAATCGAGTTTTTGAGAGATCGGAACATCCGATTTGAATGATCCAAAAAACATTCAATTCGTATGACGGGGGGAAGGGGTGATTAGTTTTTGGCAAAGGCAGGTCCAGCAGTTTCGGAGATACAGAGATAATGTGCAAAAAATGGCAGAACTAAGCGCCCGCTTAAATCATTCAAAGAACTTTCTGCTCGTTTGAACAAAATAATTGCTTTTGGAAAAAAAATGTTTTTAAATCTTTTTTTTGAAAATTTTTTTTTTTCAAAAAATATTTTTTTTTTTGTATATAGAAAATAATTCTGATTTTAATTATAAATTTGACTTAAGTTCTAATATACACTTTAAACAAATATCTTCAACTTTGCAATTCAGTTTATATAATTCTTATAAATATTAGACAATGTTACAATATTTATTTATAATAATCTATTTGAAAAACATTTAATATTCTTCGAACATTTCGTTACGGTACGGAAAGTTCCAGCAATTTGCCTTAAGCACGATGCCATACACACCAGTAGTGAGTAATTCATTTTGGATAGAATGTGCCGATTCATGCACAATTGAATTAGCGTTTAAAACTATTTTTTATTGTAACTAATTGAATTAGCGTTTTAAACTATTTTTTATTGAAATTATTGCATTTATGGCAATCTAAAATTTCCACTATGCAGCTGAATTGGCTTCCACAAGAATATCTTTATACATAATTGTAAGAAAATGCACAGAGACTTGATAATTATATAGTACTCAATTACCTTATTGTGTATTATGTATTCAATTAGTCTATGCATCTCTTGTGTCGATTATATTTAGGTGTCGAATATAAGTACATACATACAGGGCCGGTCCTACCTTAATGCAATGCATGCAAAAAATGCGGGCGCACGCCTTAGGGTTCGGAAATGAATTTATAATATAATATAATTATATTTTTATATAAAATTTAGAATACTTGATAGATCATAATTAATAATCCAGCTTAACTATGAAACACAAAAAGCATATTCAGTTTGTAATGTGATATCAATAGAAACAATTAACCAAATAATAACTCTGCAAATTTGTAAATTATTGTTCTGCTTAATGTTTAATGCACTTATTCATTTTTTCTTCGTTTGAAGTTAACGTGGAATCGAAGAAGAAATTATTTAGTGTTCAATCCCGAAAAGCAAACCTACGAAGATTTAATTATTTATTGGGCGTTATTGGTGAAAAATGGCGAGCTGATTTAGTTGAAATAGAACTTGAATTAAAATATATACTAATTATAATAGAGAAAATGGAAAATTGGGAGTCAGCGCTTAGAAAATGGCTGTTTATTCCGAAAATTGAATTGTAACTTTTATTTTTGTTGCAAATGTTTCACATCTGATGAACTTTGAACATTGAAGACATGCGTGGTTAGGTTTATGGAGCAAATATGATAAATGGAAGCAAAATGAACTTAGGAACAAAAATCTTCAAGCTTTTTTTTATTCATATTTTAATTATTAACTGTGCAGAAACAATACATGATACAAACATAATTTGTTTGTTTCAGTATAAAAAAGGGAATATGTAATTTTTTCTTTATCTTTTACTAATATTTGGACAATGCTTTAAAAAAACGTTAAAAGTTTAACTTTAAAACAAAAATCTGATACTCTGAATCTGATGGGTATGTAAAGCTGAATACAATTCGGCCTTACGATACCAATAACGAGAAGTTTACGATGCAATTTTGGATATTGTAAATAATAAAAAAATAAATTAAAATAAAATTTAATTTAAAACATGAAATACTAGTGTTATGTTTAAAAATTAAGGACTAGTTTTTTTCGCTCTTTTGGCGAGATTTGCTCTATAGAATAAATCGCACAATAAATAAGTTAAATGTTTCAAAAACAAAATATTATAAACATACGTTAGAAATAACTGAAAATTTAAAAATATTTGATTGTGATCAACCCGCGAATCGCCTCGATTTTCTAAATAAATTTAAATCAATGTATTTTATACGTTTATATCTAATTTTTTGTGTTTAAATTCAGAATGATTAAAAATTAATTAAAAAAATAATGTGAATGTTTGTATAATTTTAATGAAAAATTATTAAAACAGTTAAAATTATTGGGGGGGCGCTAAAACAAATCTTGCATGCGGGCGCTGAGGACCCCAGGACCGGCCCTGCATACATATATCAATTTCGTTCAACTATTCTACTCTTGTTGGAGGGAATAAACCTTGATAACTCAAAACAAAATCTATCTCATGATACATTATTATAATAAAGCCCCTGTTCGGGTTTCCCATTATCGTCCGCCGTCCTCGTCGACCGCTGCGGAACCGCCCCAAAGTCACCGACTC